ACTGGGGATCCGGTCCTCCGTCGGCTGCAGCTCCCACTGGCCTAATCACTCATTAGTCACGAATCAGTGACTGGGGATCCGGTCCTCCGTCGGCTGCAGCTCCCACTGGCCTAATCACTCATTAGTCACGAATCAGTGACTGGGGATCCGGTCCTCCGTCGGCTGCAGCTCCCACTGGCCTAATCACTCATTAGTCATGAATCAGTGACTGGGGATCCGGTCCTCCGTCGGCTGCGGCTCCCACTGGCCGAGCGGCTGCAGGTCGAGGGAGAGGCAGGTGACGTGCGCGCGGGGCGCGAAGGTGCCCTCGTCGACGAAGATGAGGAACCGGCCGTCGGACGCGACGCGCGCGGGGCTGGCGATCCTGCGGGGGGGGGGGAGGGGGGGGGGGTCACCTCGGGTCACCTCGGGTCACCTCGGCCCCTCTCGGCCCCTCTCGGCCCCTCTCGGCCCCTCTCGGGTCTCGGGCTATGCGCTCCTCTTGCCGAAGCTCTCGCTGTCGCCCACACACAGGACCTCGCCGCCGGCGCTAAAGACGACGACGCTGTGGCACGGCGCGCCGCTCGTTGCGACGAGTATGCCCTCGACCCCCTCGCCCCACGGGTGCTCCGCGCCTACCGGGACATGTCCGCGACATGTCCGCGACGTGTCGTGGGCGTCTCCTCGCCCCACGGCTGCCCCGCGCCCGGCTGCAGCTGCACGTAGGTCAGGTTGTCCGGCTTGAACTCCTCGGGCACCTGCCACTGTATTGTGCCGCAAGTGCCATTATGCGGCGGCGACGAACTACTCGCGCCCGCCGCCGCCGCCGCCGCGTCGGCCACCGCAAGGCCCGCCATGGCAGCCGCCGGGGCCGCCCCGACCGCCTCCGCCCCGTCCGCCCCGTCCGCCCCGTCCGCGCGGTCGTTGGGCGGGCCCGGCGGCTTGGAGTGCGGCCATGCGACCGCGCCCTCCCACCGCAGCAGCCGCCACCGGTCGAGCAAGCCGACGACTAGCCCCCTCCACCTACCGGCGAGAGGCTTGGCGGTACGTGCTGGCGGTGGGCGGAAGGCGGCAGGGAGGAGGAGGGCAGGGAGGAGGAGGAGGAGGGGGGGGGGGGGTGGAGGAGGCGGCAGGGAGGGGGAGGGAGGAGGAGGGAGGAGGAGCGAGGAGGCAGGTCGGACACCGCTTGGAGACAGCGGCGCACTGCAGCGCGGCGCGCAGCCCGCAGAGCTCGATCACGCGGAGGAGAAGGTCCTCGCCCAGCTCCTCCTCGAGGTCTGGCGGCGAGGAGGGCGGCGAGGAGGCGGCGAGGGACGAGGACGGGGCAGACGTCGGGGCAGACGACGAGGTAGACGCCTCTCCGCCGGTGCCGAGGGCGGAGGGCGCACCCGTCATGGCGGCGACGCTCTGCCAGAACACCTCCACGACGGAGCGGCGCATCGCGCGGGGCTGGGCCGGCGGCGGGTCCGCTCGCGGGGGAGGCTGCGGCCGAGCGGCCGATGGGTCGAGGTGGGACGACGGCGACCAGGGGTCCCACGGCGCGGCGAGGGAGTACTTTGAGTCGGTGAGCTGGAGGTTGCCCGCGTCCACGCCCTCCTTGAGCGCCGTCAGCAGGTTGTCGAACGGGACGAAGCCGGCGTGGTAGCCCGGGTACGGCTTGGCGTACTCGGGGTGCTCCTGCTTGAGCCAGGCGAGCAGCTCGGGCCGGCCCATGCTCCGCTGCGAGAGCGCGATGGTGATCTGCTTGTTGTACGTGATGTTGGGCAGTCCGATCGCCGCGTAGCGACACAGCTCCTCGTGGGCGCTCAGCGGCGGCGGCGCGAAGTTGAGCCCAGCCTCCACGTGCTTCCTTAGGTGCTTCGTCTGCGCACCAGGCCGGAAGATATCGCGCCGCCGCCACGGGATGTGGCGCCGCGGCGCGTCTTCCGGCGGGTGGTCCTTGCTGCCGCTCGGCGGGTCCGTGCTGCTCGATCCGCCCGTCATCGGCGTGGCAAGAAGGGAGGAGGGAGAGGGGAGGCGGAGCCTGCTGCGCGGTTTCAGTGGTGGCCGGCCTGCTGGTGGGGTCGATCCTCGCCCGTGCGGAATAAAAAAACCCCATCCCGGCTTAATGTAGGTAAACCATAGGGGTGGCCTCAGGCATCCCCAAGGGGACGCTATAGTTGGAAATTCTTTTTTGAGCGAAAGTTACCCTACCGCGTTGGTGTCCAGTCCGAGCCTGGCTGTTCTTCACCTTCCTAGAGCGATTCTAAGATCAGGTCTGCCACCTCCCCGCTGGAAACGAAAATCTAAGTTACAAATCTCGAATAAATCTCGAAGCACACTTGAATGCTCACTTGGCAGGTAACATATGCGCCACGCGCCCCAACCGCTCCTCTGGTCGCCGCCGGCCTCCGCGGCGGCGGCGATGTCCCAGCGCCACCCATCGGCCAGCCCTCAGATCGATCGATCGGCGCTCAAAGTCGGCTTCAGATCCGAGAACGCTGCTGGCGCCGCCGCCGATCCCAGCGGCGACGCCAGCAGCTTCCTCTGCTCTCCAATGCGCCGAGAAGCGACGCGGGGGTGCTCGGCCCGCCATGCACGACGAAGGCTCCGCCGGGCGCGCGTCGGCCGGTCCGGTGGCACCCTCTGCGCGCGGCACCTGCCGGCGCCCCGACGACAGCCGTCGCGCCACCGCTGATGGAGGGGCGGTCGGCGCCGCTGCCGCCGCGCTGCCGGTGGGAGGGGCACTGGTGGTGGCCTGGGCGGCCCTCCGCCGCCGCTCGGGGCGCCCGGGCAGCGGTGGCAGCCTGCCGCCGCACCACTTCGAAATGCCCGCTGACCACTTCGAAATGCCCGCTCTCCGGCGGCCCGCGATCGGCGCTATTCTTTTTTCTACAAGCAAAATTCGAGCCAATTGAGGAAACTGAAGCGGGCAGGCTGGAAGCACTGAGGGACGGCCGATTTTCGCCCAGTGGCAGGCCTGATCTTAGAATCGCTCCCTACTCTAACCTAACCTAACGGACCGCAAGGGGGGCGGGCGTCGGCGCCGTCGAGCGTCGTCCCTCGCAACCAGCTAGGGCCTCGGCGCTAGGGGATCCCCCGCGTGACGTGTTTGACAGAATTTGACTTAATGGATTATGCAAATTAAAACAGACGCCCACTGAGGAGCCTCCTGACCCGACGGCAGGCCGAACATGTGGGACATCACTTACGGGTCCTCATCTCTGATCTATCTCTCGACTCTCCCCCCCTCCGCTACCGCTAGGCGCATAAGGCGCAGACGCGCCACTCTCTGATCGGCGCGCTCTCTTTCTGGTGGGCGGGCGCGAGGCGCATGCCTCGTCACCCTCCACCGCTACCCAGCCTCTCTCTACCCTCGCGACATGAGCTCCACCTACTCCGCCTCTGCCCTCGCAACATGACCTACCCCGCTCTCTCTGCCATCGCAACATGGGCTTGCCTACCCCGCCTCTGCCCTCTCGACATTGCCTCGCCGCTTGTGCAAAGTGCGCGCGCCTCGGCAGGCAGCGTGCCGAGGCAGCGCAGTCTGCGGGAGCGCCTCGATGCCGCGCCGTCTCGGCGCGCCCCCCCCGCGTGTCGAACCCCCCGCATGTCGAACCCTCGAGGATGCTCCGCCGGCGTGCGCCGCCTCCTCAGGCGCTGCCATACGCGCCCATCTCGTACCGCGGCAGCTTGTGCCGCTCCGACCGGTCGTGCCCTCCCCGCTCGCCCCACCCGTCGCCCGCCCGCTCGCCCTCCGATCCGCGCCGGTCGCCGCGCGCGCCGTAGGCGGAGCGGCCGCGGCTGGCGCTGTCGCGGTGCCGGCTGTCACGCGGCCGGCTGTCGCGGCTGCGGCTGTGGCTGCGCCCGCGCTCGCGCTTCCGCGCGAACCAGAGCTCGCGAGAGAGGCGCCGCTCGAAGTCGCGCGCGTCGCGAGGCGAGAGGGAGACGGCGCCTGCAGACACCCGGCCTCTGTGGGGAGATGCGGGGAGGTGCGGGGAGGTGCGGGGAGGTGCGGGGAGATGCGGGGAGGTGCGGGGAGATAAGGCGCCGTCCGACGAGAGCTCGTCGTCGTGCGCGGCGCGCGCCTGCGTGGTGGATAGACCACCATGAGGGCGGGAGTGTGCGGTCTCGTGCAAAGTATTCAGAGCACCGTGTGAATACGAGGCGGACACAAACACAGTGGATACGGCGGAGTCCGTGTCCTCTCCAGAGCTGGTGGGAAGACAAGAGTGCGTCCTCCGCGTCTACGGGCAGGGCGCGCGCCCTCGCGTTGAAGTTGAGGACCGTCTCGCTCCCGATGTGGCAGTGCGGCGAGGGGCGGTGGAAGTAGCAGGCCGAGAGGCGGCCGCGCGCGTCGTCGACGCAGACGCGGTGCAGCAGCGCGTGCACGAGGCCGTCGGCGGCGTGGCGGTCGGCGGCGTGGCGGTCGGCAGGCGTGGCCGGCGGGCGCCTCTCTGCAGACGCTGCAGCCCGTGGCGGGTCGGCCGAGTCTCGCCGCCAGCTTGAGCCGTCGGACGAGCCTCAGCGTTGGGGAGGGAGCAAGGTCAGGAAGGGGAAGGGGGGGGGGGGGAGTGCGGTCTCGTGCACAGCGTACTCGCGCAGCACCGGGAGTGCAGCGGCTGCCGAACACACAGTGGACACCGCCGAATACGGCATCCGCTCGCACTGCTGGTGCGGGCGAGGCCTCGAGGTCGGTGGTTATCTCCCCACATCTCCCCACATCTCCCCATATCTCCCCGGGCGAGGCCTCGAGGTGCGGGAGGAGGGTGTGGCCGAGGGGACGGGAGGGACAGTGGAGGCGGTGAGCGCCGGGAGGGGGCGGGGGTCGACGAGACCCATGGGGAGATGTGGTGAGATGTGGTGAGATGTGGTGAGATGTGGTGAGATGTGGTGAGATGTGGTGAGATGTGGTGAGATCTGTGTCCGGCATCTAGGGACGCGCGCCGCGGGGCGGGGAGCGGAGGGCGGGCAGGCGGAGGAAGACGGGCGCGTGGCCGAGCCGCTGCGAGGCGTCGGGCGTGGAGAGCTGCAGAATGCGCGAGAGAGTCATCCCGCCAAAGAGGACGGCCTGCGTGACGTGTCCCGGACATGTCCGTCACACCGCGGCGGCCGGGTCGTGGGCGGTGGCGAGCGGTGGGCTGGGCGGTGCTGGTGTGTTGGGTGGTCGTGGAAGGGGGGGGGGGGGGGGGCCAAAGGGCTTGGAGGGCCCCGGCCACAAATGTTCGCCTCTCCCTCGCCCATTTCCTTTTCG